CAGGAAAAATCATTAATAACATAAGTATAAAACCAATGGACAATATCTTTCTCAATTACCAGGGTCCTTGTTGGCTAGCTGGCGTGCAAAGGATTGAGCGTCTTTCATGCTTCCAACTATCTCCACATCAATTTTTTCTTCAAATGCTTCTTTTTGTGCCATTAACTGCGAGTAAATCACAAATAGAGGTGGTGGGAGCAACTCTGCTGAGTGATGCTGCTTCAGCTTCTTTGAGTGCAGAACCCCTAATTGGTTCTGCACTGGCAAGGATGCTTTCTTAAGAGACTTTAGATGTGAGGGAAGGCTAGAGAGAAACTTCCTTCGGTTAGCAATGGTCTCCAAGAGGCCTTTTTTACGTTTTTCCAATTCTTCATGAAGTTTGCATAACTCTTTACGCTGTTCCAAGTAATAAACTCTGTCTCAGTCTATTTATGATTGTCAACAAGATGTAACATGCATAAGGGAAAAAGAACAATAAAGAAGATGACAATAACTATACCAGAGGAAGAAAGATAGCACAAAGATAAAATAAGAAAACCTTTCCAGGCTTTTAGCAAATTGATCATCACGAGAGAAAACTTTCACTAGCCAGGCTTTTAAATATTGTTGAGAAGCAAACAGACTTGACATCAAAGTTAAACGCTCTAATCAACTTGAGTAATACGGGTCATACAAAACATGAAAATGAGAATTAACTCGTCCCAATACTCCAACCGACTATCTAAGACATTTAACCGATTCAATATGAAACTCTTAACATGGTAATATTCCATTGACTGCACTAGCCTTCCCAGTGCTTGACCATGTTCGGTAACAAAATTCACCGGAAAAATGATTCTTCACCAAAATTATGCAACCAATAAATTACAAAAGAACAAGCAGTAAATTTAATAAGTGATCAAAAGCTGACTGTAAACAGTCTGCGTAGAAAAAACTACTACACTAGTACCATCAGATATTACGAAAACCATGCACAAGTCTATTTACAGTATTGCAGACAGCAGAATGATCAGAGTCACCTGGAAGAGCTCAAAATTAAGCCTTTTTAACATCAGATCGTGCGCGTCATTATGGGATCCTGAGTCTTTAATCTCTTCAGGTGCATCACGAAAAAATTCCTCCTTGTGAACGAGTTCAATATCTGGATATTTTGATTTAAAGTCCCTGCATGCCTTAATTGCTTTTACATAATGACTCTTTTCATACATCAGATTGTGCAGCTGCAAGGTTGTGAAGTCTACTGGTGCCTTTGCTCGCTCTGTTTCTGCTTTTACTCGGTCTTCCTCTAACAATATTGAGCGGTTTGCCTGTTAAGAAAACAAATCAAATTATACGAAACAATCAAGTTTTATCAAGATCATCAAATATGTAGTGCAACATAAGAATAAGTCAGTCACCACAAAAAAATCAGCACAACTGAACGTATGCACTATAGCCATTCTATCTTCAATCCGTATCGGGATCAGGTGAAAACAAAAGCATAAGAAAAAAGATGGGAGCGATAAAAATGAGACCCAATTAAGCTAGGGCCAAAGGATATAAAGAAGAGGTACAATTACTAGCCTTACACTAAGGAAGCACTGATGATTGTTTCCTTTTCAATTCACAAGCATGAGCTCGATCTTTCCTTGTTATAATATTTATATTATCTACCTCAAAAGTTCTGATATTGAACTTCATATGTTACCACTCCCTCTCTCCCAATGCTTGAAAGAATTTGCTGGAGAATCCTTTCACGTCTTCCACACAACTTCCAATAGCACTATGTAATTAAAAACTCTTGATTGTAAACAAATCCCACGAAATCTTTCCTGGTGTCAGCTACAAAGAACAGTCAGTTTCCATCTCATCAAGACCAGAATAGAATCAACTAAACTCATCCTAAACATCAACTTCTAGAATACCGCTCACAAAATTAGCTTGGGAGTTCGGATGATTGGTGAAACAGGACTATGAAAGCTCCAACTTTGCAAAGCTCCCTATACAAGCCATTCTCCTCCTCCTTGCATCCAAGTTACAACCAGAAGCTGGTCCTCGGTTCCACATTCCATCGTATCACTGCGAACCCATTCGTAAAATAGCAAATAATCAAGGACAACCAGATAATGTCTGCAATGGCACGACCACAAAACGAAGGGCAATCTCCTCCACAAAACCCTGACTCTAAACCCCTCAGTAACCACACCTGTCTCCAAAATTTAGCACAAAAGCCCTCTACTTTTTCCTCAATCGACAGAATCAACCTCCAACCTTGAACAAAATCTCGCCGCCATCGCATTCCAATTCATCTCCCAAATCAAACTAAGAACAGCACCCGCATAAAACAAAGCAAAAAAAAAAAAAAAAAAGAATGCCACTCCAGGCCAAGCGAGAGCAAAAACCCTAGGCAAGGAAACGGAAACCGCGAGGCGAGGGCCGAGGACCTGGCGGAGGGCGACGAAGTGGAGGAACATCTGGGTGGCGAGCTCTCTGAGCTGAGGCTTCGGCAGGCCCTGCTTCTTGATCGAGAGGATCTGAGCCACGATCTCCTCCACCGAGCTCTTGGTCTCTCTTAGCATCTCGTACGGCGACTTCTCCGCCTTGCGCTCCGGCGGCGCCGGCGGCTGCTGCGGCCGCCGCTCCGGCGAGCGGACGTCTTCGTCCACCACCATGCCTTCTTCGATCTCGTCGTCCATTTTCAGCGCCACCTCCTCGACGCCGCTACGTTAGGGCGGCGCTTGTGGCGACTGCTGCTTGCAGCTGAATGCAACGAGCGTCCAGCAGTAGCAGAAGAAGATGTCCATTTCTTACTTCCACTTATGACTCCTTTTTAAAATAAAAAAAAAACACATTATTTGAGTTTTACAAAACTATTGAAAATATTTACAAACTTTTAAAAATATATATTTTTTACTAAATTAAGTTCTTTTTATTAATTTCTCAAAAATTCAGAAGAAGTCAAAAACCAAAAGAGCTAGAAAAGTAAAAGTTGGAAATTACAAAAATTGGCTCGTTCCATGATGTCTAGATAGTTTTTTTTTGTGTGTGTGTGAGTGATATTATCTCATAAATATAGTGAACTTTATCAAGATTTACTCAACTCAAAAGTCAAATACCATTTCGGGGCAGATTATGAAAATTATAAGTTCTAACTATGAATTTTTTTCGCAATTTGAAAAGTGAAATCTTGATTAAGGGTCCGAGCTTATACAATACAAGCCAAAGTGGGGCTTCTACGTAATGAAATGCCATGTCAAGGTTTTCATTCATCATCGGGGAATTAGAAATGCCAACATGACTTAAAATAAATCGAATAACCTTTTTTTCTACCTTTTCTTTTCGTTCCTTCTATCCTTTTTTTCTTCTTAGTTGATCGGCCTTACCTTGCCGTGCTACGATGCCGTCGCTGTCATTAGGCTCAGCAGTGAGCATCGGGATCAGTTCAATTCGAGCACCAGCCAAAGTCACAACCACTTAACCAAATAATATTATTGAAATAAAATTATGCAAATTTCATGTTTTATTATAAAGATTTGGAGTTTTACTCAATGCATAAGAATGAGATGGTCGTCAACAATTTGTATAATTTCACTCCTTTTGTTCTTTCCATTGGCTATAATGGTGGAGGCAGCGACCAATTGGGGTGCCAGTGTTGGAGCCCGGGTTTTTTTTTTTTTTTTTTATCAAAAGAAAAACAACAGAGAATGAAGTGATCGACACACGCACACAAACAAATCAAATTTAGAGATAAGTGGATTGGAAGTCATAAAATTTTCAAAAAATCCAATCAAGTCATTTCATTAACTCGGTCCAATTTGTGCAATGGAAAACGCTAACGTGATTAGAAAAAAAAAAAAAGAGGAAAGAGCGCTAAACCAGCGAGGGCTTACAGGTCCCCCGCCGCTGCCCCACCATCACCGGAAAGGGCCGACGAGAGTCTACCAGGGTCGCCAGCCTTGACCAATGGTTGTCGACTCTCGCTAGATTTGGCCGAGGGCCGTCGGTCATTAGCTGCCCCGGTCAACCCCTCGCCGGTTTTGCGCTCTTTCATTATTTTTTAGTTATGTTTATTTTTTAAATTTAATTTAAATGATATTTAGATTAAAAAATCATATTTGAATCAAAACAACGTGGTTTTGCCATTGTCCTTCATGTTTTAGCCACGTCAACGCCATATTGGACAAAGAAAATAATTAAAAATCTGACATCAATGTTTTTCGTTAGTCAAATTGGACGGAGTTAACAAAAGGATTTAATTGGACAAATTTGACAAATTTTAGGACTTAATTGTATTTTTTTGAAAGTTTTAAAACTCAATTGTACTTTCTTAACAAGTTTTAGGATTTTCAGTGCACTTATCCCTAAAATTTAATTTTAACAAAATCGGTGTCCATGTCAGCTAATACCATTCATATTTTCAAATCGAGGTATCACATAACCTCGACTTTGAAAGTTTAGGTACTTGACTTTTAAAATTCGGATACTCAATTAAATTTCGAAAAAAGAGTCGACTTTCCATCTCCCCTTTTATCCATGCGTGATATTACCTCCTCCATGTTTTGGATCGTCGCCTATGTAACCTCCTTCATGTGCGATACTACCTCCCTTCACACAGTGTCGAAGTAATCGGCACTATGCAAAGCACAGGCCAGCAGAGTAGGTTATCGCAAACAACCACCTTGTCACCGTAGGTGTGGGAGGCTATTGTACCTAGCTTCTTCGGCGGTAGCTAGACGAAGCTGACGTGGTGTCTACTTCACCACCCACGACCTCCTAAGTTCTCTCTTGTTGTTTTTCTTCCTAAGAGAGAATGAATACGAAGAGAACTTACAGCTAAGTCCCTCCATCATATTCGAGGAGTTCCTTTTCTTATCTCTTTTTGAGTTTTTTAAGGACTCACTCATGCCCGAGCATCGCCGCCTGATATTCTTTTTCATTCTTTTATTTGGCAGAAAAGTAATGACAAAATTTAATTGCCATATTGTGGTTTTAGCTCATCCTTTAATTCGTGATTCCTTGCCTGTTTTTTTGTCGCTGCAGGGTTGGTCGCTGTTCGTCGTTGTGACCGGAACACGACGAGGCCGGACCTCGCGCTTACAAATTTACTCCCCCCTTCAGCTTCCGAGCCTCTTCCGTTTTCTCCAGTCTCTTCGGCGAATTCTTACATATTTCTCGGAGAGCGCGACATGGACGCTGTCCATCTCGACGGGGAGGAAGAAGACGGCCCTGCCATCGGAGCTCTCGGCTCTCTCTTCAAGCTCACTCGAGTCTTTCTCTGGTCTGCCCCTCTCTCCCTCTTTCCCTCCGTGCGCGTCTCTCTGTGTGCGTGCGTGTGCGTGCGTGTCTTACGGCGGGTTGCTCTGCTTTTTCCAGGGACGACGGCTCCTCGGCGGCGCAAGAACTTCGGCCTTCCAACGAAACCAGGGTAAGCTTTTTCGTCTTGCTCTTGATCTGTACTGCATCTCCCGCTTCTCTGATTACTGTACCCAGTTGGAGAATCTTGATGTTTTCTTCTTTGTTGGGCTCGATGCAGAATCCGCCTCGCCGCGACGACAATGTCGGCTCGAACGTTGTCTCTACCACTCAGGGCAAGTGTTTTTCCAAACCCTTTTAGCCCTTTTTGTTCTGGCTCGCTATGTGGCCGGAAGAAGCTGCTTTGCCGTACATATTCTTGTTTTTTGATGATCACGAGTTGCTCAAATTCTCTTGCGTTTTCTGCTATTTGTGTTTTCCCCTTCCAGACTATAGTCCTGCACCTGAGGACTTGGAACTCATCACACAGATGAACGAGCTTGGTCTTCCACTTGCATTTCAGACCAGTAAGGAGGTGATTTCTTGTTCCAGTTTGCGTTTGCTATTATGGAGGATTTTAGATGCTACAACTCAGAATCCGATCATGTTGCTGTTCCTTGTGGTCGTATCTCTGTGTTATCAGTTGCTTCGATGATTAATTATGTTTGGCTTTGTTCTTCTACAAGTTTGAAGATTTGTAATCGCTGTTCATTGGAATAGGGTTTGCGCAACCATTCAAAATTCGAGTAGAAGAATAATGGACTATGACAGCATTTTAGAATGTGGTAAATAACACACTTTTAAAAATCTGGAAAGAACGATGATTCGCCATCAAAGTATGGACCGTAGAGAATGCTCTCTTGTCAAGTAACTAAAGGGATCCGGGATTTTTTTTTTTGGGCAGCCTTTCTTTAAGTTATGCGAACTCAATATCAAGGTATGTAATGAACCAGCCTGCTAAACAGTTGATTTACGTTGTATAAGAATATTTGCTGGAAAGCCTGTACTTTGAATTATGATTAGTTATGTAACAGAGAGGTTTGGAGTAAATGCTAGTGAGTGATGTAACTAGACGTGGAACCATTTTATAATTGTTCAAACTATAAATAAGCTATTTGATATCTTTCTCTCTCTCTCTCTCTCTCTCTCTCTCTCTCTCTCTCTCTCTCTCTCTCTCTCTCTCTCTCTCTCTCTCTCTCTCAAGGTATCATAAGTATTACAATTTGCTGCTTCTAATACTTTGATTTGCTGGAAATGCTTTTTTTTTTTCAATTTCAGAAGAAGAATGGAACTTCCAAAGTGAGAAAAAGGAGAACACATAAGAAGAATGATTATGGAAAAGAAGGAATTGAGAATGAAGGAACTCGATTCCCGAAAGTGAGTGAGCCTGTTGTTGTATCTCAAACTGTTATTCATGATAATCCAAGTGGTTTGTTATGTTCCATGCCAGTGACGGGCCAAAGTGAGATCTCTTGCTATGATAATGCAGTGGATGCCAGTAAATTTTGTTCCACATCTGATAAAGGAGAAGATTTTACAGAGATCAGCTGTGTCAGCAAGAAAATGATCTGTACTGGAATATCGGATGTGGCAATTGATTGCCTGGATTGTTACCCTGTTCTGACAGATAATGTGCCCAAGTATGACTTAACAGTTAATCATAGCAATACAGACTCTGATGCTGGAGGGGGACTTTGCTCACAACATCCTTCAACTGAAGTGTTTGTTGACTGTGGCAGGGAAGAACTTGATGGAAGCTTAGTGGACTCCAATTTGTTGGACCATATTTCACCTGCAGACCAAGTTGAAGCTGTTACGACACATTGCAACAGTTATGAGAACCATCAGTCATTGGAAGAGGTTGCCATCGGCCAAGGTACAGAAAGCAATAATGACAACTCATGTAGAGACTGGATTGTGTGCTGGGACTCTTTCTATCAGAGAAATTACTATTATAACAGTATAACCCAGGTTTCAACGTGGTTTCCGCCTCCTGGGATGGAAGCTGTAGAGGCAGAACTTATTGAGAACCCAGAGTCCAATGCTAGGCTTGTTGAGCTGACTAAGCAAGATCTCAGCCTATCAATTTCTAGTGTTTGTTCACTACCAGGAGATACTTGTGTTTTTCAACATACTGTAGATTCATTCAAGGACATCGTGGATCATGATAAATTACTTGGTCAACCATTTGGTGAAGGTGATTCCATCGACTCGAAAGATTGCGAAGAAGATGCCACTTCACGAAGACTGGGTGATATGAGGTAAAATAGGGATTATTATTGTCTTAAAGATCATTGTTGCAATCGTACTCAACCAAAATAAGACCTATTTTGGAGGTTGTGCTTTCTGAATGGAAGAAATTGTTTACGTGAGGGTTAATACTTAGTAGCTTACTTGAAGTTGTGGTATGATGTGGAGAATTTTTGCTTTTAATCATGTACTATCTAAGCTATTAATTAAGCGGCTTGAAGTTGCGATATGTGATAGAATTACTTTGGCAGACTTTTTCCTAACACTCTACTTAGGTTTTACCACAAATGGTTTGTCTAACATGGCATCCAAAAAATAAGTCAAATGTTTGAATCTCATTATTTCCTCTTATTGTTATTTAGTTTGTTTTCCTATCTTTCTTTTCCTGCTTCAAGCGTTTGTTTATTGTGGTTACATCCTCATACTGTGTCACGTATTACTATGTTTCATGCATATGGCTCCACCTACTGCCAGGAAATTCAAGAATTTTAGCATTTAATTCTTTTGTCACAGGGAGCATTCTTAGAGCCTAAGAAATTTATTGTAGCACTGTGCAACCGTAACAGAATGGTGAATCCACATAGCTACAAAAATAGAATCTGTAGTGATGGGTTTTACATGACTTTTTTGAAACTTACTTCCCAGGAAGTTAATCAAGTAGTGCATATATCTTTTTGGAATCTTCGACCAAATGGTAATAAAAGTGATGAAACAGCCCCACAACATGTAGCATGTCTTTTAATGCTTCCCCTTGCTGTTAAGTTGGGTTTACATGTGTCACACGGGGTGGGGAGGTAAGCACATCAAATAATCAGCTTGAGGTGGGAACATGATAACATAAAAATTAGACAGAACAAGAATAAGAGGGAACATTGATATTCAAACCTTTGTCCTCTGTGCTGAAATGCAAATCCTTTGTCGAAAATAAAGTGCAACTCTGTCTTGAATACGACAGAATGGCCTCATGATATTATTAATCCAAGTTATTACCCAAGTTTTAAAACTTTATGAAGTTTTACATTTGTATGATACTCGGTAAGAAAGCACCATGTCTGTTATAGAGTTCATTTTAAGCGTTCCAACTATTTTGTGATTGATGGGCTTGCCTTGGTGACCCATTTTGCCTATCTTAAATGTAAAACTTCAATAGTCGAGACAAATTACTTGATTACATCATATTGATGATTGTTTATCTGTTTTAGCATTTCATTTCTCTCTCTCTTCTTGCAGCATGATGAGTGACCTGACAGAATTATCTCTTGAGGAGAATAATTTACTGGGGGAAGTTGGGGAATTTCTAGGCAAATGGAAAACGGTTGCAAGAAAAAGGATACGGAGGAAGTCATTCCATGTCAAAGAAGGTTCTTCAACTTATATTCGCTTTCTGTTCATTCTGTCTGAATCATTATTTTGATACTGGTTAGTGCTATTTGTTATAGAGGATATGTAAATGATGGGTTCCAGATAGGTTATAGCGGCCACGAGGTTAATTAGACAAAATTTGCATATAGTCTTTAGAAATTAGGGGATGCAACCTGTGCAAAACTGGAATAATCCTTGCCTTCAGCTTGGTGCTGATATTTCAATTTGTACATCCTCATTACTTATAGGATAATTGAGATATCATTAGGGGGATATAATATAATCTGTATGAAAGGACTTGATCTTCTCACCTAATTTGATCTCTGTTTGTTTTTTTGGGGAAATGAGCAGTTTTCCACTCATTTTGTAATCCGCTATATGATTCAACTTGCGTTCCATTTTGACTTCAGTATTTAATACATTTTTAATTTTATCATGATAAGTTTTCTTCACTACTTTCCCTAGAGAATTTTTTGGCTAATATGGGCTTGCCGTTGTTTAATTAATATCCTTATGATGAACATTTGCATCTTGCAGACCTGAGCTTTCCTCTGAGTGAGGAGTACTGCACTGTCATTGAAAAATATTGGTTTCAGAGGTATCTCCTCTTTTCAAGATTTGATGAAGGTATCAAAATGGATGAGGAAGGATGGTTTTCTGTTACTCCTCAGTCTATTGCTAGGCATCATGCAGTTCGTTGTGGTGGTGGGATTATAGTGGACGGTTTCACAGGAGTCGGTGGGAATGCCATCCAATTTGCACAAATGTAAGAACCTTTGTCTCTTCATTTCTGTGTGTTTCTGGTTGAAGTTGTGCGAATTTGTTTGAATGAGTGAAATATAGTCTGGTTCTAGATTGGGTGGTTGATGTAGGAGATACCAAATTTTTCAGCAAAAAGGGAATTATCACCTGGACCACTAATCTCCAATTTTCCTGTACAGCAAGGATACCCATGGTACCTTTTGGGAAAGCTTTTGAGTCCTCATAGACTATGATAGACCTATTTTGTGTAAGATATGCTTATTTTCAGATTTCCTATGGACTTGATAAGACTTCACCGTCATTGTTTTGGGTGAAATTTGTAATTTACACCACCACACTCATACCATGCTTGTGTGCAATCATCTCGTCATTCGTGTTCTTTGAGTTCTTTTAAGATTTTAAAGCCACAGTTGTTAGAGTTTCTTTCTCTTTGCTAGATAACATGCATCCGAACCTTAGACATTAACCTTGGACTGAAACAAATGTGAGGTTATCCATAGCCTGATGAAGATGTAGATGTGCAGACATCAAGCCATTCCTGGCTTGGTTACAAAAGCAATTGCATAGATCTCTAGCAAATACATCCAAAATAAATTCCTGCTGTAAGAAATATAATGGTAAAATCCTGGAGTTGATGTATCCCTTAGCTACTGTTCACACAGAAGTTTGCCTCATGATGCCTATGCTTGAACATGATTTTCGGGAAATGCATCCGCAAAAGCAAACAGATAGTGAGTTTTTCCATTTGACTCGTTTTGGTGTTTATCCTAGTTACTATACGGATGAGAACCTTGATGCTGTTATGGTCAAGTGGGTTTCTAGTCTTTCATCTAATATGTGCAACCTACTGTATGCAACCGTGAGAATACTTACCTTTCACTTTTGTTGTTATGAATTCAGGGGCCGACATGTAATAGCAGTTGACATCGATCCAAAGAAGATTGAATATGCGCACCATAATGCTGGCATATATGAAGTTGATGCTGGAATAGATTTTGTGAAAGGAGATTTCTTCATTTTGGCGCCAAAATTGAAGGTATTGAGAAGTCTGTGGTCTTGCCATATGTATGGACGTGGCGAATATTCTCATCGATGTCGTTTTCTATCTTATGATCTATGTATGCCTCATGTGTCTTTAGCGCACACTATTGCTTCAAACGATACAAGGCGTATGACAGTTATTGCTTCTAATTCTTGAAGTCGTAACGTGCTTTGTCTTATTCTTCTTGAGACTGCAATCGCGATTTTTTTTTTTTTGTCTATTACCAGTAACGAGGAGCTTTCCTCCCCTTGTATCTTATGTAGTTTGAAACTATATTATCCTTAATTAGTTGCCAATACCAAATGGGATTAACTTTGACTTTGGTTATGCATCTTACTTTTTTTTGGCCAATTAGTAATACATTTTGTTCAGTCTCTTGGTGTTTAGTACAAGGACCCTGTATGAGCATTAAAAGATAATGTAAATCTAGAGGATTCTGTATTTGCTACTTTGACATATTTATCCTTCTGCATGCTTATAGTTAATGATTTACTCTTCTATTGCAGGCAGATACTGTCTTCTTGTCACCTCCTTGGGGTGGTCCTGGCTATACCAAAGTAAAGAAATACGACATGAAGACCATGCTCAAGCCACGTGATGGGTGAGTGGCTAAAAATTTGAAGCAAAATGAACCCGCTATGTTTCGACTATTATGAGTACCATTGTTATCTTTGACTTCTTTTTGCACCTTTGAGGCTCATAATTAACTTTGTTGCATTGATATGTACACTGCAGATTCATCCTTTTTAACATTGCCAAGGAAATTGCTCCCAAAGTGGTCATGTTCCTCCCAAAAAATGTTGATCTGAACCAATTAGCTGAGCTTTCTCTTTCTGTTCAACCTCCATGGTCGTTGGAGGTAATTCCATTTCTTCTATGCACTCTTGGTTATGTTGGGATGCATTTCTCAGTGAAGGGCTTTGTTAAGCCTTATGTATATACCATATTAGTGACATACTTATAGGGCTAAGGCTGCGTTTGGGAACACTTTAGGGGAAAGTCTTTGGCAAAATGCAAAGGACTTTAAGTTGAAGGAGTTTTCCAAAATGCAAATTGTATTTGGTAAGTTGTAACTTAAAAGTCAATTGCAAAGCAACTTTGGGTAAAATAGCGTTTGGAAAAATTATACTTGCAATACACTTTTTTTATTTTTTATTAAAGAAAAGCTGAAACCCTTCGCCGGAGCCGGCGAAGGGCAGGCGGTCACTGGCGACCCAGATCTGGCGCCAGCGGCCATCGTCTGAGGCCGAACGACGAGGGCAGCCCCCGGTGACCACCGACGAGGGCCGCCTAGGGTCGAGTGACCCCCGACGAGGGTCGCGAAACCCAGGCAAGGGCCGCCGGTGACCCAGATCTGACACCGCCGCGATGTCGGTGGTCGCCGGGGGCTGCCCTCGTCGTTCGGCCTTAGACGAAGGCTGCCGGCGCCAAATCTGGGTCGCCAGCGGCCCTCGAGGGTCGTTTGGGTGGCACGACCTCAGCCGGAATCACACGTCGCCTCTCTGAGGTCGTGCGAGTTCCCGGCGAGGGCCGTCTAGGTTGTGCGACCTCAGGCGGCCCTCGCCTGGGTCGCGTGGCCCGTCGCAGTGGTCGTGCGACTCCAGGCGACGGTCACTGGGTTGCGCGACCACGCCGGCCCCTCTCTGGCCCGTCGCCGTCCACTCACAGCCACACAGCCAAGCTAAGCGGAAAAGACAATGAGCAGTGACAAATGAGGGCAAAACTGGAAAATCAAAAAATATACGAGGATAGTTTTGGAAGAAATGTTTATTACTTAATCGGTACTGTTGCTTACCAAAAATGCTGAAATGCCAAGGCACCTAGGAGGCTGCCTTGGGCTTTTAGCCTTCAAAAGGCCAACTTTGGCTCAATGGGGTTTCTAAAAAAAATTCCCAAACACCATATTTTAGCCCAAAGGGCTTTAGATGCCCAAAGTGGCTACCCAAAGCCATTCCCAAACGCACCCTAAAACCCAGGATGCTCAGTACCGTATAAGATCACTATTGAATTTCACATGACAAATAATTTCCATCCCCCTTTTTTTTGGTTAATCATGCATACCTTTTCTGAAAACTCTTGCATTCTTACTCATCAATAGTAAACAACTGACAGCATCAAATGTTCTTTCTGACATGGATAGCTAAGACGGTGCTTATGGGCCTCGTACATGTTTAGACAATAGAGGCAAATTTTCCTAGGATGTCTGTTCCCAAGAGGAAAATCTTATTCGCTTGATTTCTCTGTGTCATGTTAATGCGACGGGAGAGGAAGACTTTACTCTGCAATATGCTTCATATGTGTTTGCATGGGGAATTGGAGTTTTTTTTTTTTTTTTTGGCAAGCTGTTCTCAGAGAAAATATTAGGAGTTTCTTGAAGCATCACGTGCTTTGTCTTTGCCCGGTTTATGGACTTGAAAGATATCACCAAGCGAATCTTTTCTCTTTGTCCCATGCACCTCTTGGAGATGTTATCATTCCTCCCTCCAGCTACGCACCTCGGCTTTTGAGGGCATTGAGATGAACGTTGGTTATGCTCCTTTTCTTTTGGTTTTACTTTGGGGTTTCACATTCATGCTTGATTGGTGGATTAGTTTTAAGGGGAAGGAATTGTTGTTGATTTCATTTAGAATCTCATGAAATGCTTTATGCTATCTTTCTTCTGATACGTTCCCTGGTCTAAGGTTGAGAAGAACTACTTAAATGGTAAGCTAAAGGCAGTAACTGCTTACTTCAGCAACACGGAGACCTGCAGAAAATAGCCACGAAAATTAGTTTTGAGATGGTGTGTTGGTGTGCCAGATGAGGATGAGTGTTTTTCTTTAGATCATTAGCATGTTCAGTTATCAGGACCCTTTTTTGGATGTCATCGATGTCTTATCGCAGCAGTGTTGATTTAAATAGATGATCAAATCGTGCTTCTGCTCAATCTTTGTACATAATTGCTGTCATCTACGGTTCTTGTGAAACTTGTTAAAATTAAGGATCACGGTGTGGTCTATTATAAGTCGCAACATTCGACTTGGAAATGCTATAGGTGAAAATAGCAATTCAAATGGCAGCCATCTCTTTTAACTTCTCTGCAGAGTTTCTGTTCTGTTGCATGGCATACCCGTGTACTAAAACCAATATGATCGATAGGATGCAACGTCAAGTGCGAAGAACACTCCCCGGACTCAGTTTTATCACTGTCGCGGCAACGCGATGAACATGCAGGGTTTGTGTTCAAGAGAGGTTTGGTGCTTTCTTTTTCTTCCCATCCTTCTGCCAAATGACATGTCGACCCAGTGCTCAACATGATTATAGCTTGATGAGCTGTGAACCCGGTAGAAGCTATAGAATCTGGGAAAAAAATTTAACTTCATAACTAGGAGCGTCATGACACCGCTTTACACGTCACTGATTCTGTTGTTCATTCCAAAGGGACGAATATATGTCTAATTTCGCCTGATGATCAACAACACACCCAACACGACAGTGAGCTGGTGCTTCAAAAGCACCTAGTAATTTCTGAAAAGGGATAACTGCGTTAAAAGTTTTAAAATTTTTAAAAAGTGCAATTAAGTTCTAAAACTTATCACAAAAGTGCAATTGAATCTTAAACTTTCAAAAAGTGCAATCAAGTCTTAAAACTTGTCAAATTGGTTTAATCAAGTTCTTTCATTGGTTCTATTTTTTGAAAGTTTTAAAACTCGATTATACTTTCGTGATTAGTTTTATGATTTAATTGCAACTTTTGAAAGTTTTAAGATTTTATTGTATTTTTGTGATAAGTTTTAAGACTCAATTGCACTTTCGTGATAAGTTTTAGAACTTCAATGCACTTATCCCTTCTAAAAAGAACAACCTATGCACCATGGCTTCATCTATTCGAAGACGAGCTTGCGGGTGATACGTTTCGTCCTGGACAGACAGAGACAGCAAAGAGATGATCGAGAGTTGACGAGGAGAGGCTTTGTTAGTTGGGTGATCGCTACTTGACAACCTAATTCATGGTTTAGAAATTGCAGTGACTGATAATTTGATTGCGGTGGACTACCTAATGGATCCCTCCTCAATCTGTTTCAGCTAACTGATGAACGAGAAGAGAACAACAACCTGGAAGCGACGTCTCTCCTCCTTAATCTCTAGTTTCTTCGCCTCTGGACCATATAATATGCATGAATATTATGCATTTGGGGGATAGAATTTAGGTGAACGAGAATCATTTTGAAATATTTAGGAGTCAATCAATCGACCCAAATAAGAGATGCAAGATAATGATAGAAGTTTCGGATATGGTGTGATGCCTACATCAATCAACAACCTTATCGGAACAGACATGAGTTAAAAATGATTTTGTTGTTGAACATAAATTGATTATGAGGTTTTTGATCTGAATAAAAATTCAAGAGACTTATTATGACCACAATGTCAACACACTAACCCAAATTGCCGGTCTATGTGATTAATTGGAAGACTCCCTTTTTTAATATATCAACAATAGGGTGCAAAGGGGTGATCAACGTTAGCGACATCTTAACGCGATATCGTAGGAGTTTCCCACTTCTGGAAATATTTAGAGAACCAATAAAACCACTCAGTTTACTTTTTTTCAACCAACTATTTACTATATAATTTGGTTAATGCGGTTTCGAGAGTCGAGTATTCTTCTGAAATCGGCGTGTTGAGCTGCATATATCTATTCTTCGGTTATGAGTTTTGCCTCATCGATTCTCTAGATTTTATGTTTATTTAATTAACCCTATAATTAACTTAAACACTTGTACATACACTCAGAGCAGGCCCCGGGATATCACCCCCTCACATCTTGTCTTTTCAATAATTAAGATTGGCACAAACCTTTTTATATTTATAGAAGCTCTCATATAATAAGTGAATACCATCTAATTTAAATTTAGGCTCCGTTTGTTCGCGAAAAAGGGAAAACATTTTCCTTATTTTTCGGTGTTTGATTTGTTTAGGAAAATGAGTCAACGGATAAAGTTTTCCTAGTCAACGGAAAACCTATTCTTAAATTAAGGAAAATAATTTCCTTTTTAAAAAATCGAAAATCATTTTTCGAAATATGACTAGGTATCGGTGCTTAAACTCGAAACTCCATGTTTGGGCATGGACGCTGGTTCCCGGGTCACCGACGTCTCGGGCTACGTCTCCGGCGCCCAAGCCTGGGTCCATCGAGGCTAGGCCAAGGACCACAATCCACGTGCCCGGATCCCCTACACTCGCACTCAGATCCATCGAGGTCGGGCCTAGACCCCGATGCGCAAGCTCGGGTCCATTAAGGCCGGCCCAGGGACCCAAGTGCCGGTGCCCTGATCCTCAGCACTCGAATTGGGGTCCATCAAAGCCGAAGCCAGGGCTCTAATCCTCACGTGGGTTCTCTGACTATCCATGCACAAGTTACTAGTATCCAAATAGTATAAGTCTCTTTAAGAAAATCAAATCATATTTTCCATACTAAACAACGGAAAATATTTTCTAGTTCGTTTTCGGGTTTTAGCCAAATACTGAAAAATATTATAATTATCATGGAAAACATTTTGCAGAAATGTCAAATTTTTCACAAAACAAACAGAGCTTTAAAAGTAAAGTGTTTTCGCATTGGATATCTCTAAATTAAACCTTATCTCACATAATTTTCATGAATACTGTAAAAAAAATATTAACATATCACATTGGCAATTTATTACCATAAGCCAATCAACAAGGTCACAATATACCATAGGTGGTGTCAAAGCAGTCTATGAAAAGGGATGCACTTTTAAAAGAGCCTAATCAAAATTACAAGGGATACCAAAGTAATTTATCAAAAATTGGTCGTAGTTTGCCATCTTCATATCCGCTCCGGTACGTTTTCTCACTATGACCGTAGGCAAACATTACTAATCCACATAAATTTTGAACGTGACCTTATACTTTTTTGGCCGACTTATTGCATTGGTCGATGATTTCGGCTTATACTATTCCTGTCTACTCGACGATAGCCAGACGAAACTATCGTAAAGTCTACCTTCTCCCCCCAAGGCCCTCCAAGATTCCTCCCATTCTTTTTCTTCCCAGAAGAGAAAGAGTACGGAGAGAACTTATAGGGAGATTTTTTCACTATACCTGAGAAGTTCCATCTCCTGTCTCCCTTTAAGCCTTTTAAAGTCCTGACCACACCACAATAATTTTGTAAATCAATTTAAATATTTTTGTAGCACTATTCTTTTGCCGAAAGAGAAAAAACAGTTGAAAATAAGACAGGTCACGTGCCGGGGTGAGAAAGTCAATGAAATAGTTAAAGCCCTTCTGCTATCACCTGGAGAAAATATTCAGTGGTTGCATATCACCACGTCATCGTCCTACCTGGCATGCATGAACCATTCAAAATTCGACACGTGTGCGATGACATGGAATTAAAAAATTGGATTCGGAACCTCTATTTCTTTTCTCTCTCCCCTCTAAAGAAAACTGACATACGCAACATTAATTGCTTTCTCTCTCTTCCGTTTTGTAAAAGAATTCTGTTCCAGTTCCAGATGAGGAGGTCGTTCTTCTCTCTCAAATTTCAAATTTCACTCCCTCTCTTTGCGTCCGAAGACACACTCTCTCGCCTTCGGCTCCGGCACGTCGCCTCCGCCGTCGCCGCCACGAGCCCCATTGGTGCTGGGTTTGAAGCTCGTATCCGCCTCCGGCACTTCGGCTCAAATCCGCATCCGGCACGTTGTGACTCTTTTTCTCGTGGGTTTTGGCTTCCAAAACTAGGTGTGACTTTTCCTTCAAAACCATGGAATCTTGCACTCCATGGATGAGGCCTTCAGGCTCTCAGTGTTGCATTTCGGGGTTTCTTGAGGTTTCGCTGACTTGTGAGGGAATATCTCTGTTTTTTTTTCTTTTTTACGAGGGTATAAAAAGTCTGCTTCTGTATGTGGGCATTTAGCCTTCTTGGGGGCTCAAAAGTTATGTCTTTATTGGCAAAATCAAGAAGGAGATTCGTTTCTGAGAGAGAATGAAGATTCGTAGTAGTGAACTGAAGATAGAATATGTCTTTCGTTTTATATTATGTTGATGGAACCCAATGGTTTAGGTGGCGGGATCTTTGGAGGCATTGGTCCAGGAATGCTAGGTCTAGAAATGCCTCTGCATCAGCAGCAGAAGCCCCCAAATGCCCAAAACCCTCACTACTTGCACCAATAGGTGGTTCGAGGGGTCATAGTGGGCAAGGACAAGAAGATGAAAACGCTCACAACGAGAGGACATCTTCGCGCAAAAGGCCGAGGAAATGCCTACTCTCGCTCTCGATGGCACTCCTTCGGCAACTGAGCGGCGAGGTGACAAGCATGATGCAAGACGGCAACAGGAGTCTGTGGGAGAAGAAGCCGTAGATGAAGGCGAAGGTGTTGTAGCTGGAGGAGCAGCAAGTGAGCAACCAGCTGCAAGCGTTCGAGCTCGAAAAGGCAGCGGCTGAAGTGGGTGAAGTTCAGCAACAAGAAGGACAGGGAAATGGAGAGAGCCAAGCTCGAGAACGAGAGAATGGTGCTTCTCATCTGCCAGAAGCTCAAATTGCTCGATCCTCAACAGGAACAGCAACATTCATTCAACAAATGGAGTGAACCGTCCTCGATCACAGGATAATTTTTACATTATCTAAGATAGAGTAGAAACAACGAACTGATTATTCTTAAGAAATGTAGTTGTGATCTCAGTTTTTCTATATGAATTCAATTGTGTAGCTGTTTTCTTTAAAATCCTTTTCTTTACAACCTTATTACACGCTCGGTTGCTTCACTTAGCATAGACATGCGACTACCTATACGGTACGATGTTTGCCAGAGTGATATATATCTCTAGTTGCAAATGTATATACACTCAGTCACATTCAAGGTACTTTTGATGTTGTAACAATTTGAGTAACCATCTCAATTTAGTACTTTGATGGCCAACTCTAACTCTTCAAGATGCTGAGCATAATCAGTAGTTATGAATCCTTTTTCTGGTAAGCTCTAACTTTAAGCATAACTAATAGTTATGAATCTTTTTTCTGGTAAGCTATGTCCCAGCTCAATAAGCCAAAAGTTGAAAATGGAAAAAAGGGGCCATGAAAATATGCTTCCTTGTAGGTGAAACATGATAGAGATAGACAATTTTCTGGCAAAATGAAGTGGTGATGCTGTTGGTTTGGTCAGGTCACAAGCATTGGTGCTGAAATGGAATATCCATCATGCTCCTGGTTTAGTTTATAGCAAGAATTCTGTCGTAGCAGCTAAATTTGAAGCAGCAATTTCTGATTTATGCTTATATAAGTCATGCTTGACATATACAATGCCAAAGTTTCATAAACTTCAAAATTTATGACTTCAAAATCGAAATACCAATCTAACGATTTGTACAGATGCCTGAGCACGCGTAGAACTACTGTTGTTTCCATAGTTGCACCATTCATGTCCATCATATCTTCAGCTTGTTGCGATCCCCAACTGAAGCTAGACATTGACAGTGATAAGAGTGCCAGTTGTTGCAGCAGTGTGCGCGCATGGCCTTTCGTTGCATCTCTGCCTTCTCTATTTTCTCAAGCATATTTCAAGGGCTTTGTAATATTAAAATAGCTAAAACGAGTCTTGATTCACCGAGTTAACCAGAATTTGGTTCTATCTTGGCATTCAGGAACAACATCGGTCTTCTTTTGCACAGTTCATGCTCTTCTTTCTTGATTTTGCCAATAAAGACACAATTTTTGAGCCCCCGAGAAGGCCAAATGCCCACATACAGAAGCAGGCTTTTTATACCCTTGTAAAAAAGAAAAAAAAAACAGAGATATTCCCTCACAAGTCTGTGAAACCTCAAGAAACCCCGAAATGCAACACCGAGAGCCTGAAGGCCTCATCCATGGAGTGCAAGATACCATGGTTTTGAAGGAGAAGTCACACCTAGTTTTGGAAGCCAAAATCCACGAGAAAAAGAGTCACAACGTGCCGGATGCGGATTTGAGCCGAAGTGCCGAAGGCGGATACGAGCTTCAAACCCAGCAGCAATGGGGCTCGTGGCGGCGACGGCGGAGGCGACGTGCCGGAGCCGAAGGCGAGAGAATGTGTCTTCCGACGCAGAGAGAGGGAGTGAAATTTGAAATTTGAGAGAGAGAAGGAGGACCTCATCTGAAATAGAGTTCTTTTACAAAAGGGAAGAGAGAGAAAGTAATTAATGTTGCGTGTGTCAGTCTTCTTCAGAGGAGAGAGAGAAAAGAAAGAGAGATTCCGAATCTAATTTTTTAATTCCATGTCATCGCACACCTGTCGAATTTTGAATGGTTCATGTATGCCAGGTAGGACAATGACGTGGTGATATGCAACCACTGAATATTTTCTCTATCACCTGGGTCACTCAGGTACCTCTCAACTTTGCCAGATTGCCAATAGCTCTCGCTTTTGGCCGGCATTAATTGTAGCCCCATTTATCATTTGACATGTACCATGATATATAAAAATTGCATGAAATGTACTATGATATGCAATTATTATTCAGTACTATGATGTATATAAAAAAAGGACAACATTGCATATTATTGTTCAGTGACCATATGGTACATGGCCAATAATAATGTAAGTCCAGATACTACATGTTCGGCAACCTAAAAATTATAACTTCATTGGAAAAAAAAAGGGTTAATATCACGAAAAATCCCAAACTAGTACATCTATGATAAATTCACCCAAAAATAATTTTTTGACCACCAAAAACCCCAAACTGGTATACTTGTAACAAATTTATCCTCAATTAAATTGGATTAATGTCACAAATAACCACAAATTGGTACACATGTGACAAACGGAAGATAAAACCCCAAACTGGTATTCCCGTCAACTGCCATGTGTTATCCAACTTATAAATCTGACGATAAAATTTAATGAAAACTAACGGAGGGTGAAATTGTCACATGTATACCAGTTTGGGGTAAATTTGTCATAAATATACAAGTTTCGGGTTTTTCATGGTATTAACAAAAAAAAATCCCTAGAAATGTAAAAATAAGTATGTTTAAGTGGTTAAAATTTGGGGTTAAAATCACGAAAAACCTCAAACTGGTACACCTGTGACAAATTTACCCCAAACTATTTTTTAACTACAAAAAACCTCCAAACTGGTACACCTGTGACAATTTTACCAAGAACTATTTTTTTTACCACAAAAACCCTACATTGGTACACATGTAACAATTTTATCCTGAACCAATTTTTTGACTATCAAAAACCCCAAACTGGTACACCTGTGACAAATTTACCCTGCGTTAGTTTCCGTTAAATTTTACTGTCAAATTGCTAAGTTTAATGACATGTGGTAATTGACAGGTGTACCAGTTTGTGATTTTACCCCTCTATTAGTCACAAGTTTACCAATTTGTGGTTTATCGTGATATTAATCCAATTTAACGGATACTAACTGAGGGTAAATTTGTCACAAATGTATCAATTTGGAGTTTTTAGTTGTCAAAAAATTAATTCGGGGTAAAATTGTCATAAATGTATCCGTTTGGGGTTTCTGGTAGTAAAAAAATTGATTTGGGATAAAATTTTCATAAGTGTATCAATTTGAAATTTTTTGTGGTCAAAAAATTAGTTCAAGGTAAATTTGTCATAGGTGTATCGGTTTAGGATTTTTTGTGGTTAAATAAATAGTTCGGGGTAAATTTGTCATAGGTGTACAAGTTTGGGGTTTTTCGTGGTATTAACCCTAAAATTTAAATGGGGTTATCTGGTTTAAAACATAACGAGTTTTAACAATCGACGTAAAATAAATTAGACGTTTTTTGGGCCGAGCCATGTTTGATATTGTTGATAATGGAGATTTTTTTTATAAGATCGTTTGTAAAAGATGTTGTAAAGTCCCGAGAACCACGATGCGAAATTCACAAGCCTCGAAGATAATTTCCAGGCTGCACGTACATATCGTGCATGGGCACAGAGACGGAGGGAAATCCGACTTTACACTTGGTTCGATCCAAAACCTAATTACGTGAGTTTCAACACATCTTTTTTATTGTAACCAAACTAGAAAATTGAACCCATCCATATAAACCAAAAAAAAAAACCCATCCATAGATAATGAACAAGAGAGAATTTTTCAAGAAATTCAGAAAGGACAGAAGTGTGGAAAACTAGCTTTTGAAAATAAACTTTGTACAATAAAAGAGCTAGTGGGGGTTTCCTTTTTGTATCATTATCCTCTAAATTAAGTTACTAAATACTCTTTACTTAATCAACAAGATCATCAATAAATAGCAACAACAACAATGATATATTACTCTTTTTGTAAGCTAAATACTTGAGTGGAGTAAAAGCAAAACAAGTGTCAGAGGTTAACTAGGGTATAGTCCAGGCCGTGCATCTGACATCTGCTGCACTTCAATTACTCCGACATATCACCCCTCTCTTCTATTTTGTTCGTGCCAGGCAATTTGTTCTTCTGTTTTTTCTTTTGATTTCAATGATTTCATGTCGCATTAGTGCTTCCATTATTACCGAACATTAATGACTCCAGGGCCTAATTTTCAAAAGAATCCCAACTTTATATCCAACTCTAATTCTGCTCCAAACCTTTTTTTTTATCTTAAATAAATTCATAATTTTTATTCTAATCCTAAATTTGTCGTGTACAAAAATTGCCACTAATTTTTGTTAAATTATGAACATCAGAGCCAGTTATAATTTTTTTTATCCGAATCTGCTCCCGATATTGATAATCTTGACTACTTTTGGGCACATGGGCAGGGTTGGAATTGGAGCGAAAGCTTTCTTAAGACAAAATAATATTCGAGACAAAATTGAAAATAGACCTAAAATTATGCATTTTTTTAGGAAATTAGCCCGTACTTTTCGGGAAAAATTTGTATCTTGTGATTCCGCCAAATCATGATCCTGAAAAATATCGTTTTCGCTAACAACACAAGATAATTTCACGAGAAACCAGCTGTACCACGGCCGTTTTAGAGTCATTCCATTCCATGCCTGAGCTATTCCAAAAACGTCAGTCCATATCTTATCACAGAACAAAATCCATTAGAAATCCTTCATGTGATTCGATTTTGGTACGTTTGTGTTTTTTGCTTGGCAAGAACATGATCATGCTCGCGCATGGTTGCGTGAGGGCGACAAATTGGCAAACAACGGGATGGAAGCAAAAGCATGTTCGAAGCACGACAGATGATTGCAAGCGCGAGGTGCTATTACAATACAAGACAAAGAAAAGGGGAAATTAATAAGTATAAGACGTGACCTTACTAAGATTGCGTCTAAGAAAAATTCTATGTTGCCGTTAGGATAAGGGCATTGGCAACCATGTGCACTTCGTGGTGACCAAAACTCCGTGCACCGGTGTGAGCCCTGCTGGGTGTTTCCTTGGTGCGGACGACATTGATAGAAACTGAATCACTCGAACTCGGCTTCTATTGTGTGAATGATCTCGGCGTTTTCGGATTGTGATTTTCGAAACCGAAGATAACGGAAGACGATTCACCGATTCCCTTTTACCGGTTCTATTAAAAGATCCAACCTAAAAATTTAAACTATTAGAAGAATGTGATATAATATTTTAATATTTTATCACCCCCTCTTACGCTTAATATGGTCTTTTTGTCCGGTACTAAGTATAGACATATTTAATTGGGAGGCAAATGAAGTTTGAAAAGATTTGAGCTCGAGACTTTGATATCATGTAAGAAAATTCAATCAAAAAATTTAAACCATTAGATGAATACGTGATTTGACATTTAAATATTCTATCAAGTTCCTTCTTTCACTAAGGAATTAGCCGATTTTGCAATAAGCACGTGGCATTCATATGACAATTCGTAGGGCCTGCTATTATTTATCTTGGCGAATCGTCTCTTTATTTGATTCAAAATGGGGATTTTCAGATGGACACGACTCACAATTTTTCCCGGTTTTTCCAAATGTCAAGCTGCTCTTCGTGTGCGGATCGGTGTTCGAGCGTTCTTCTGCGAGATTAAAGATCTATGTATGATTTGAGTGGGTGCGCAAGCATCCAATAAAGAGACGACACCTAACGAGCAGCGACTAAAACCTCGCCCTTTTAAGGGCAACCATCGTGGTTAAAAATCTTTTTGCTGGGTGGAAATCTCGGGGAATGCTTTTCTGTCTCTTCTTTTTTTTTTTTTGTCTTTTTGGGACAAAATCTAGTAGAGATATACTATGCTGTCACGAGCAAAAAGATTGAATGAGAAGATGCAATTACACAAGGTCGGCAAGAAGGCCCTCTTTTCGATCGAAATTGTGGCTCATGCTCATGGCAGCTGCCCCATATCCCCCGGCAGCTTTCATGGAATTGGAGACAGATGGACGCGGTGACCAACGCAGGCCCCCCCGTCCTCCGCTGTTTCCCGTAGGGCCAGGTTCGGACATGATCAAACTCGAAGGGGCAAAGAAAAGCACGGTCACTTTAACTTAGTTCTTCGACACTTTTAGTAGATGGAAACAGTTCTTTTAGAAGCTCTTATAGTGCTAAGAAAGAGAGACATCAATGAAGTCAAATTCCTCCGGAGAAGGTGCAACTTACCCATGATTATCGTTTGAATTGAGTTGATGAGATGTCGGGTGTGGACTTTTAAGCATTGTTACTGCCACCGATTCCGTTGAGATGAAGGAACAATAATGTCGCCGCTTATCCCTCGTAACTTTTATTCGAAATTCAAAATCACGGCTCTGTTCATTTTCTCTTTTTCAAAACGATCCCTTGATCGTCCACCATTGATCGTTCTCCTAAAATATTTAGTCGGTGGGCTGAGTTGGACTTCAGATTAGACATAATGCGCTATGTTGCGTTCGAATTACTCGTATGATGTCACATTAATAATCACGAAAAAAAAAGCATTGGAGAGAGAAATGGATTGGGGGGGGGGGGGGGGGGGGACAACAAACATGGGCAGCGTCATTGCCTAAGAGCATGGGACAACTCTCACGGTGGTCACCGGGGGAGGGAGGGCCGATCATCGCCTTTGAGATCTATGTTCTAAGATCTATGATAGTGGAAAAAGAGGAGATGCACAGCCGCGGCTCGTAAGGCGATGATGGCGACTCATTAAACGACGATGACCGGTCATGCGACGATTATGACTACTCATGGGGTGATGGCGAGCTTGAGGAAATGGCATGCGCAAGGCTGCTTCTTCAAGACAGGAGACTCGATTGGGGAGATGAGACGAAAGCCACCATATGATGGACAACCAAACCTATTTCTCGATTCAATAGAAATCAAAAGAATCGAATAAGGTCCCAAATACAAAGAGATATTTAAAAGGGTAAACAATTATGCATATTCCTAATCCTAAATAGAATGCAATGACGTTGGGATCCATATGCAAATACAGTATTTATTTTGATAAGTTGGAATGACCGTATATATCCGAATTGGTCTAGTTTGGAATGAGCTTATATATTGGAATATGTCTATGCCACAATAACCATAGCCCATTTCCACTTTGGCGGAATACTACTGATTCTTTGATTCCAATTAGTAAGGGGGATCTTGAACTTAAAAATAAATTCTAGAAGCTAAAACACGGGTATAATAAACAATTGTGACACTCACGTTCATTGATATTTCTAGTATAATAGATGCTATCACACTTATAATTACACTCAAATTGATGGTTTTGGAGACTATTTTATGTTTTGCATTTGAGTTAATGCCACGAAAAACCTCAAACTGGTACACCTATGACAAATTTACCATCCGTTAGTTTCCGTTAAATTTTACCGTCAAATTTTTGAGTTAGATGACACGTGACAGTTGATGGGTATATTAACTTTGGTTTACTCCTCCGTTATTCACATGTTTACTAATTTATAATTTTTTGTGATATTAATCTAATTTAATTTAGGGTAAATTTGTTACAAGTATATCAATTTGAGGTTTTTAGTGTTTAAAATATTATTTTTAAGTAAATTTATCATAAATATATCAGTATGGATTTTTTATGATCAAAAAAATAATTTAGAGTAAATTTATGATAAATGTATCAATTTAAAATATATATACAGCATGTAGGTTCAATAAAATCTCTTGGAATGGACATTTCCTCCCTTAGTTCTTTAATAGTTTTCTTTTTCTTGAAAAGACAGTTCTTTAATTGTTGGGGGTGCTCCTTCCCCCTCGTTGTTATCGAATGCGTGAGACATTTCGAACGAAAAAAAAAATCTCACGAAAAACTAAAATTCTAGCAACATAAAAAAGGAAAAATATCATCAAAAACCTCAAACTATATCACTTGTGACACATTTATTTTAAACTTTTTTTTGCGACACGAAAAATCCCAAACTATACAACTTGTGATATATTTACTTGAACTTTTTTTTGTGATACGAAAAACCCCAAACTATGTCACTTGTGACACATTTACCCCATAATACTTTGACCCATGGGTATTTTAGTCTTTTTCCTTTTTCTGTTTTTTTTTTCTTTCTTCTCCGGTGAGGGCGGTCCTCGCCGGCAGTGGGTTGGGCGAGGGCAGCCCTCACCCTTGCCTGGGCGGGCGAGGGTAGCCTCGCCCGACGCCGGCGAGGGTCGCCCTCGCCCGACGCCGGCGAGGGTCGCCCTCACCCAACCCACCGCCGGCGAGGACCGCCCTCACCGGAGAAGAAAGAAAAAAAAAGGAAAAAATATAGAAAAAGGAAAATGACGAAAATGCCAATGGGTCAAAGTATTGTGGGGTAAATGTGTCACAAGTGACATAGTTTGGGCTTTTTCATGTCACAAAAAAAAGTTCAGGGTAAATGTGTTACAAGTGGCATAGTTTGGGATTTTTTGTGTCACAAAAAAAAGTTCAAGAGTAAATGTGTCACAAGTGGCATAATTTGAGGCTTTTGGTGGCATTTTTCCTAAAAACAATTTACTTTTCGTGACATAATGCAAGTAAAAATTGATAGTGAGATAAAAATTAGAGTAAGATAAATAAAAAAACAGTAAAATAAATTCGCACGACCGAAAAAAAAAGGAACGAAAGGGCGGAACAATCAACGTCCGAACGAAGCCCAAGTTGCTGACCAAAAAAAAAAAAACGAAGCCCAAGTCGGTGACGCGAAAGGTCGCTGCTACCCCCACGTGCCAGCGCTGACATCCAGAAATGGAACGAAATTACGCGGGGGCCCTACCGTCATTGTCCCTTATTCCCCTTCTCCCCCCCGGGGTCAAATCTCATAGTAGGAAAGTTTGATAGAAAAAAAAAGAAAGGAAAAAGAAAGCCACCATCAAAAGAAGCAAACCCTCAACTAATCATTTTAAATTATTTCTCCGGAGGCCCCCACAAAAACCCGCTAATTCGATTTTAGGCCCCCCCGGAGATCCACTCGACTCCCAGTTAGTTTAGAACTCCAACAAACATCAGAATAAACGAGAGATCCTTAAATTAATTTAAATAGTCGAATAAGACGGAAATTAAAAATACCACAAATAAAATAAAATGCACAGCGCTCTGTCTCTTCTGCTTTTTCCCCCCCCCCCCTCCCTCTTCAGCTCCTCCAAATCTCACATGCACGCTCATACCGGGACGAACGCTGCCGCATCATCCGAAGAACACGTGTACATATATATATATATACACGCTGAACCTGCAGAATCCGCCATTGGAGCAGGTGCGCCGAAGCTAGCGAAGGCGGGGAGATCTTGATCTCTGCCTTCTCCGCGTCGCCTGCTGCGCGCGAAGTCCCCCGTCCATGGCGGCGTGAGGGCGGCGAGGTGAAGTGGTGCCGAGCGGGAAGGGACGGCAATGGTGGAGCCGGGCGGCGGGTTCGGCGCCCGCGACGCGAGCCCGGACTCCGTGATCTTCACGCTCGAGTCGAACTTCAGCCTCTTCTCCTCCGCCTCCGCCAGCGTCGACCGCTGCTCGTTCGCGTCCGACGCGCACGACCGCGACTCCCTCGCCTCCGAGACCTCGCTGGTAAAAATCCCGTTCGGTTCCCCGCTTCGGTTCCTGCGTTCAGGTTCTAGCTTGAGCGTTGGCCGCTTTTCTGCATTCGCGAGCGGCGCCGATTGAGTTCTTCGAATCGATTTCTAGTTTGCGTTTTGTACGGGATCGTTGTTCGCTCGAGAGCGTGCTCTTTTGTGTTCCCTAGGAATGTGTTTAGAGTTCTTTCTTGCGTCGATGTTTGTCTGTCGCCGAAGAATTGAAACGAAAAAAGAAAGGAAAAAAAAAGGAAGAGGACGAGGAGTTTGAGCTTTCATCGAGAGAGATGGAGAGAGGATCGGGAATGGGTGGCGGAGGAGATGCGTGCGAATGTCAGTGCCGGTGCGCGAAACCCGAGACGGCGTCTCTTCGTGTGCAGTTCGGCGTGTGAATCTGGTTGTTTTGAGTGCCTGATGCAAGGTGTTGAAAATCTGGTTGTTCTCCTCGCAGCATTTGGCAGGGCACGAGCGTGATAGCTCGAGTGGTCCAGATCCAGATCCAAATTCGAATCCGAGCAAACCTGCAGTACATAAGCACAGTCGTCTCTCTCGAAAAGCAGATAAAGCTAAAGGTATTGGTTTGCCTATCATTAGCTCGTGTTAAAGTTAGTGAGAGAGAGAGAGAGAGAGACAGAGAGAGAGAGAGAGAGCGAGGGAAAACGACAGCTCCTGGCGATTTCAAATTGTGTGACGCTGTTGCAGTCTCCAATCTCACTAACTGTTTCCTTCGATTGTATATGAGTTCGAATAGAGGACGAGGATGGTGATGTCGAGGACAATAATCATACCATAGACTCTGCTAGAAGCTCCTTTTCTCTTGCTCTCAAAGGTGCGGTGAAGATTTTTATTTATTTATTAACAGCTTAAGATAGTCAAGAATTTTTGCATGATTTTGGATCGGTGATGATGTGTAGAATGTCAAGAGAGGAGATCTAGATCGGAAGCTCTGTCGAGGAAATCAGATAGGAGAAGGCCTGCTTCGGTTGATTTCAACAATGCCACTGCTTTGTCCCCTCGATTGGAAGCTGTGAAGAATAGCTCCATGGCGTCTCGTAAGTCCGGTGCATTTCCAAGCCCGGGTACCCCAAATTACCGTCATGCCAATGTTGGACTGCAGAAGGGTTGGAGCTCGGAGAGAGTTCCCCTGCAGTCCAGTGCTGGCATGCGGAATGCAAATGCTGGGTATCTGCCATTCAATAATGGCAGGACATTGCCATCGAAGTGGGAAGATGCAGAGAGGTGGATTTTTAGTCCTGTGTCTGGAGATGGTGGTGGTTCTAGGCCATCAGTTCCGCCACCCCAGAGGAGACCCAAATCGAAGAGTGGACCACTTGGACCGCCAGGAATTGCCTACTACTCACTGTATTCCCCTGCAATGCCTATGTTTGGTGGGGGAAACATCAAGAACTACATGGCAGGATCTCCATTTTCAGCTGCAGTTATAGGAGCTGACGGTTTTCGAAATTCTGCTGCCGAAGTTGGAGAATTTCCGGTCCGTGGAGAGCCCTGCATGGGGCGATCAGTTAGTGTACATGGTTGCTCTGAGCTGCTGAGTCAGTCATCCAGTGTGGGTCTCCAAGGTCAGTTAGATCGTTATTCTAGATTGAATTTTTATTTGATATGTTGAGAGTTTATTCTGCCATGTTTTCAAGGAGAAATCAGTGAGGAAGAAATTTGATGGCATACCATGCCAGCAATTAATTTCTTGATTATGTATGACAACACCACAGATAGGAAATATAAGGATTGCTGCTTCTGGAAATTAGTTTTGCAAATGTCATACTTTACTTTTAATCCTCTGATATGAGTAAGTTCTTCTTGCAAAGTCTGTATATTTGGTAACTGGAGTAGCTGCTCCTAGTATCTGAATAATGCCTTCTCATTTTGGGAGCTATATATGTCCTATCTCTATAAATTGTCTATGATTTGAAATGTGATTTTTTTTTATGGGTGGGGTTGCTTGTTTACACTAGTAGATTGGAATTTGTCCGTGGATGGTTAAAGCATGTAACATGCGTTTTCTTCAAACCTTTTTTCTTTTTTAGCTTTTCTTGAGCTTTAATGCAAAGTCAATCTAAATCTAGAGATCTTAAATGTACTTTGTTCAGGCAACTCGTGTGTCTGATCCTGTTATTTTTATCTCTTGGATGACATGTAGATGAAAAACTCGATCAGCTAAAGGATGCTGCCACAGATATATCTCGTGCTGTTTCAAGAAGGGATATGGCAACCCAGATGAGCCCACAGGGAAGTACTTGCTCATCTCCCAAAAGAACACTCTCTTTTGCCACATCCCCTCCGTCAGCCTTATCTATCGTGGAACTGCCTGGTGGTAATTCCTCTAAGATGGAAGTAAAGGATGTGCAGGTGGATGAACGGGTCATGATCACTCGGTGGTCCAAGAAAAATAGATACCGAATTTCAGGGAAGGGCTCAGGAAACAGTGATGATTGGAAAAAGAAAGACATGGAAGCACAATCTTCAGCATGGGATATCTCAGACACAGTCAAGAGCATTTCAAAGTACGTATGTGTAATTTCCTAAGGTGTTCTGCATCTTACATAGGACTTCAAAGTTGATTTTAGTTTTCAGTTGCTCCGTGACAGAGTAACCAATTGATTCCTCTATTGGGGCTTTGAAGATCCATTAGGATGAATTGGCTGGCCTTTTTGTAGATCTACACAGCCTCTACTATAAAACGTACAATTTGTCTTAAAGGTTGCACATCCCAGCAAATATACTCTCGTTAGAGTTAGTCAAGTGGACACTGTTCTAGTCAAATGACGGAGATACAGTCTTCCTTTCAACTTCTGTCATAGTAGTGTCAATTTCATTTCTGATAGTGTACTTGTTAATGTCATTGGATGGATTTATTATCGGAAGGTACCTAAAGGGTTATCACTGTGATTTCTGTGGAGTTCACTGCCCTGTGCTTAAGCCTGATTATCTCTTTTAAGAAAGATCAGTCACACATTGTCTTTAATTGTCTATAAAGAGGAAGCTACTCTTAAGTTTTTAAGTAGACGGCCAACAGATCATTGGATTTCCTCCCAATTCTGTCTGCTTTGCTCGCTGACCAATTTGTTTATTGATTTCTTCATGCTCTAAATCACATGCCAAATATGACAATCTTTAAGTCATAAGATCTGGTGAATACTAAATGTGACCATATTCTGAATTATGCACTACAAACCTAAGCAGAACTTTATGTTTGATTTTCTGTCTCATACGCAGCGTTAAAAGAGAGGAAGCAAAAATTTCTGCATGGGAGAACCTGCAGAAGGCTAAAGCTGAGGCAGCAATTCGGAAACTAGAGGTACCGTTAGTCGCTTATTTCCCCATTTAATGTGTCAATGCATTCCATTTTCATTATCTCAGACAGATTAAGCTATAACTCTTCTCTCACTGTTCTCCTGCAACCTGCTCTATGTTGGTTTTGTTTTGCTGACAGAGGCTAGGAGCTAGATGGTAGTCAAGAAAACCTTGTATGATATTTTGGCAGTTGTGATCTAGATGACTGTTAACTAGAAATGGTCATGAGCTAGTAAATTAGTTAATGCAACCATTAAATTAGTACTATCACTTATTGACTGATGGGGAGAAGGAATTTAGCAGAGTAACTTTTCTTTCTCTGCAGTGCTACCTCAGTTTACCCTGTTTGTTAGTAGGTATCTCAGTCTCTTAAGGCAGCAAAATAGGTCCTTGAGGTCCAACTTAATATCTTTTTGGAAAACTGCAGATGAAGCTGGAAAAAAAGAGATCGTTGTCCATGGATAAGATTATGAAAAAGCTTCGGTCTGCACAGAAGAGAGCCCAAGAAATGAGGAGCTCAGTGTTGGCCAGCCAGGTTCATCAAGTCTCTAGGACTTCCCACATGGCTCTAGTATTCCGTAGGATTCGTCAAGGAGGCTCGTTGAGTGGTTGCTTTACCTGCCATGCATTCTAGTGCCAGCACGTCTGATATCCAGGTAACTAGACGGTCACATACGCATTGCGCGGATTGTCATACAAAATACCACATTGTTTTAATGTCTCATTAGTTGTAAAAGGCACACCTAGAAGTAAATCATTAAAGTAAGCAACTAATTAGTATAAAAGTAAGAATTCGCAAGTATAATATAAATTATTATGGGAAAACTTTAAATTATGTTATTATCCTAAAATTAAAAAAATGTTTCTTAATTTAAATGAGTTATACTTAAATAGTGAAATGATGAAGACAGAGGAGAAGTCTGCGGGCAAATAATATTGTGATACTGTTTTGCTACTTTTGTGGAGAAAGTATCAAAAGCCTTTCTTTACATGCAGAATGAATTATAATTCATTCACATAGATCTGTCTTTCGAAAGCTAACAGAAGATCTGTCAGGTCCATTGAGCTGGTGTACAAATTGGATGCCGAATGGAGGAAAGAAGAAGACGAGCAAATGAATGTACGTGGTCTCAATCACTGCTGTTCTGACACTAACGCTGTGTCGATTGGCGTATATCAGTGGATGACACGACCAGTTCACCAAGGTTTTGATCAAATTCATTCCCATGGGTAGTACTCGTTCCTCAGTACCCAATGTATTAGAAGAAAAGATATAAGGGATTAGCAAATATGTGTAAGTGTATCGACTTCGGTGTCACGAGTATATGTGGTATATTCTCTCTTTAGACAGTACAATTGGACATGCTTGCTTGCTTGCCACGATTTACGTATAATCTTGAAAAGGAATGCTCGGTTCTGAGACGATGAAGCTAGAATCGGGAATCAATTTTCGTGGTGAGGTTGTTGGTTGTTGTTTGAGACCAGCAATTGCTTTCTGTCCCCTCTCAAGTACTAAGATTTGATTCTCTTAAGACCCTTCCGCTTTTCTATATTATTTTTCTTGGCACAATCACTAATCCATAACAAGTCTCATTTCTCGTGATATTACACACAACGAGTCGACGGTGATAAATGCTATCTTCATAATTTATTATATATGAAGATTAGAACTCTTAACGAGAGGATCCTTGAACAACATGCTTCAGAAATGGTACTTTCATAACTAACAGCAAAGACATGTCCTGCGCGCGTGCTTCCGATTAGATGGTTATGCACCAAGATCGTGAACGTTTTACTTGAAGCGGGTGTTACCGGTTAGGGATGTAATGCAAGGATAATTTTGAAATTGGAAAAGTGTGAGAAAGAGAACTTTTCCATTAAATATATTCATTTGTTAGAGAATACTAAAATATTGAGAAGAATGTACAAAATATGATGACTTGTAGGGGTGAGAGAAAAATGGTCCACAAGGACCGGTTGTGACCAAATGGAATATACTAGGGATGTCAAAAAAGCCCGGCCCGACCTTACTCGAAAATTTCGTGTTTTTTGGGATCGGGCCTTAGTCTTCTTTGGGTAGGGATTTAAGGTGTGGGTATTGTTAGGGTTATGGTAGGTTTGGGTTATAACCCTGCCCAAAGCAAAATGTCCAAAATTATAACCGTCTCAACTCAATCGTTAGTTTGTCACTGATCTCCCTACACTTTCTGGTTTCGATCGTCTCTTTCACAAACCCTAGACGACCACGAACTCTGTCGAAACACCATGTCCGACATGAAAGGCATGAGAAAGTATTGTTGTTATCACAAGTGTTTCTTGAGGATTTACTGAGCTTGTCTCTTGATAGAAATATTGGTTTTGACATCGATTGGATATTTGGTGGAATAAGAATTGATTTAGAAGTTATAAGCTTGAATGATCATGTGAGACGGATTTGCTTATGGTGAATAGGGTCGATCTGTTGTGAACTTTTTGATTGCAGGTGATGATCTTACTCTAAGTAGCTTTGTGGAATTAGTAGACGTGATTAAGTTACAATAGTAGCTTTCTTGGATGCAAAGTGAATACTTAAGTCCTTGATTTAAGAAGTACTAGATTTTAAGTGACGATTCTTGAAGTTGAGAACTTGAGGCCCGTTGAATTTATTGGAAACTGGGTGAGTTCTTATCTCAATGATTTGAGGAGTTGTAGACATTTGGTCGTAAGTGATGATCTTTTAAGTGGTGATGTTCTTTGATGAGATTTATGGTGGACAAGTTATTGCTTGGAAGTCTAAGGATTTTGTAAAGAACGAGGATAAATTGTTTTGGGAGACAGTTGAGATTGGAATTTGAAGAAGTGGATACTGTTTTTGATGTATTAAGAGTTAATTATCTTGTTGTGCTCGACGGACGAATTTTGGAAATAGGGTTATCGATACCTTGTTCTCGAAGTGTTAGCAAAGACATGAAAGGTATTTGAGGATTTTTGTGCAATGATTGAGAGTTGGTTGGCACAAATTTCCAAGTGGTTGAGGTGATATTCTTAAGTTGCGACTGTAATTGAAGTGAGTGGAATCAATGGCTTGTGGAAATTTAGAGTTGATGGAATGCATTGGATCGTATTTCAAGTGCTATTGGGTGATCTAGAGGAAGTGACCTCATGGTTTGACAAGCTGGAGAAAGCTTTAGCGTTTCTGAGGTGCTCAGACGTGGATGATACCTCTGTAAATGAATCCACATCAGAATGGAACTCTCTAGTAGGTGTGTAGGTTTGGGGACGAACCAGGCGAAAACTGGTGGACCTATAACGACTCGGTCCGATGAGGGTGGGGAGTGGTCGTCGGGGCTAGAGGGCCTAAGCAAAAAGCGATTCCTTGTAGGCTTCTAGGATGGCGGAGGGGGCAGGAATGAATCGAACTATGCACTGAACAGGAGGAGAACAATTCTGGGATGATTTTTATCAGAGTGGCGTAGCCAAAGCATGGTAAAGCTTGTAGAGTTCCAGTTTGTTGGAACAAGGTCGGAGAAAGGAGAATTACTTATCCAAAGATTGTCTAGCAATTAGTGGATGCGGTTAAGAGTATTAGAGAAAGACTTAGAACCGCCTAGACTTGCTCATGTATACGATGTGTTTCACGTCTCATTGTTGAGAAAGTATGAGCCGATCTGGCACGCGTGCTTATCTTTGAAGAGATCAAGTGGACGACAGAGTGTCGTATGTTGAGAAGCCGGTGCGGATCGTGGATAGTAAAGAGCAAGGGTTGCAGAACAAAGTCATTTCCTAAGTGAAAGTGGTAGGTGATCATGTTTCCCTGAAAGTGCCACCTATGAGAAGTACGTTGGACCTTTTCAGATCTTAGAGCGAGTAGGGAAATTTGGCATGTCGGTTGGCACTTCTGCTTTGCCTTGCTCGAGTCATGTGTTGAGAAGGATGAGCCGATCCGGCACGCTTGCTGAACTTCGATGGGGATTGAAGTGGACGATAGAGTGTCGTGTGTGAGAAGCCGGTGCGGATCGTGAATCAGAAAGAGCAAATGCTGCGGAACGAGGTCATTCTCTTGGTTAAGGTGATCTGGAGGCAGCGTGGAACAGAAGGAGCAGCATGAGAAAGTGAGGAATCAACGAGGCTCCGTTAACCCCATTTGTTCGAGGAACCAGATGAGTATTCGAATTTCGAGGATGAAATTCTTTTAAGGAGGGAAGAGCTGTGATATTCTCGATTCGGACCCTATTTCGGCAAGAGAAGTGGCTTAAACTGTCAATGCACTAATAGCAGGGTTAGACCATGAGTCGATTCACGAATTGTGCATGAGTCAACTATTCGATTAGGAAGGGCAATTGAGAGTTAGGAAATGTGCTTGACTAGAGTACTCGACCATGGAAAATAGCACGACCATAAGGATTGATGCGAGATGACCTTATGACGTCACGGGTCAATCAGTGAAAGTTTAGGAATCGATTCGATGGAAGTATATATAGTCGGATTGCAGGTGATTCCGCATGATCATTATACTAAACCTGAACGATCCTAAGCTAATTTCCCAAGATCATGTGCCCCGAGTAAATAAGTCAATTCCGCACGATTACATGACAACCGAGAATGATCCATGGATTGATTGACGAATCAACCATAAGTCACGCTAGCAACACCCAAGAGGCCGCCTATTATGAGGGGCACTTCCCATTGAAGTTTAGCTACGAGCCTTGGTCTGGTTATAGGTTTTCGATTAAGGATAGTTCAGAGGCTTTCCTTTTTGGGTTAGTAGAGGTAGACCCCGGGAATAGTCTTGGGCCCCGAAACTTTGGACAAAGGAATTATTGGGCCGAGAATGGAAGCCCACAAGTGGGCCGAGATGGGCCTCACGTCCAAGGCCAAAGCCTAATGGGCCCAAGGAAAGCTCATTAAGCCTTTCAAGCCCATTAACCTTTTCAAGTCCATTTCTCTTCAAATTGGGCCCGTTCAAGCCCAAGCCCAAGATTGTTGGTTCAAGCCCAAGCCCATGTGAATAGTACTCATGAATAGTGCCGTAAATAGTGTCAAGGGCTGAAATTACCAAATTGTCCCTCTCATATCATCTTTATTACATTTTTGCCCTTGGATATTTGTGAATCTTGTTTTGGAAGATTCATTTCTAGCCATTCATCTTGGCTTATTGGGCAAGAAGTGATCTTGGCCATCCATCTTTGGGTGTGGCTTGCAAGACAAGTTGGTCTTGTCTCTCTCTCTCTCTCTCTCTCTCTCTCTCTCTCTCTCTCTCACTCCTCCTTGTTCGGCCTCCTTGCTACTGCCCCCCTTCTCTCTCTCTTTTCCTCTTGTTTTTCCTTTCCTTTTGGCTGTTGTTCACTGCCCTTACCGCCCCCAAGTCGCACCGTGAGCTGCCCTTGCCGAGCCACCGTCATGAGCCGTCCACCGTCGCCCGTCCAGCCCACCGAAGCTGCTGTCCAGCAGCCGCCCCAGCGAGACCCATTTCCATGCCGCCACCCCGAGCCGTTCTGGACCGAGCCACACGCAGTCCTCGTCGCTACCGTCGCGCTTGTGTCGTTGGAATCGTTTTCAGGTGAGTTAACGCTCTAATCCCTTGATTAGTACGTTAAACTTGCTTAGGGTTAGATTAGACTAAGTTAATTATGCTTAGTGCTAATTAATGAGGGATTAGTTGATAAGCTATCGCGATAAGTGATAAGCAGAAGTGATAAGCTATCGCGATAGGTGATAAGTGGACTTAATAGGTTATCGAGAAAATGTGATAAGCTATTGTCAAAGGAACGATAAGTTATCGGGTATTTGTTGATAAGCTATCACCAAAAGGGTGATAAGCTATCGTGGATTTGGTGATAAGCTATTGAGGAAATGGATGATAAGTTATCGCGAGAGAGCGATAAGTTATCGGTTTTATTTGATAAGTTATCGCACTAGAGCGATACGTGATTGTTATATGTGGTTTGTACTTGAATTGTGTAATAATTCTGTGTATATTTCATGTGCTTTAGAGCTTGTTATGCCATGAAATGTGATTGCCCATTTTATAAACCTTGAATGTTGTTTTTAAAGAAAGGTTTTATGGACATATAAGTGGAAATTCCCGAGGTGTCGGGTTTATATGTCCGGTTTTATGAGTTAAATGGGGCAAGGTTGTTTAAAAAGGAAATCGTGCAAAGTTAGATGGGTTGATTGTGTGTATGTGATCACGTGTGAATTTATTACTACATTTTTATGTGTAGAAGTTACAGTAATTTATTGTGTGAGCACGAACCACGTTTGCATTGGCTAATTGAGAAAGATAACAATTGGAACGAGTGGTTGGTGTGCTTGCATGGTCACATGAAAGTCCGTTTGGACGGGGGTTCCAAGACGATGCCAGGCAGGGGTTCGGATGCCATGTAGGCGGGGGTTATAGATGATATCGAGTCGCGGTTGAGGCTAGACCAATGCTCTTAATTGAATGCCGTCTGGGTGGGGGTTCCAGGTGATGCCATGCCCGATGGGGCGGGATGATGTCCGGTCATGCTGGAAAACCGCCAACTTGATGCGAGTAACGCAGGTTGTGCCG